TCCCTTCTACCAGCGTTCGGCCGATTGACAACATGCAGCGCCCAACGGCATCTTTCAGGACCACGATGTTCCTCCTGCAGCAACTGTCCACACGGACCTGGACCGAGAACACACAAACCGTTCGGCCAATCAGCAGCTGTCTGGGCCCTGCAGTGAACCGGTCTGTCCAGTTCTGTCCCAGAGTGCAGTACTAGTGTGTACTAGTGTGTACTAGTGTGTACTTGCCTTTAGTGCCGGTGGCTGCAGTAGTGGACGTTGTTGGACTGGGGTCGATGTCCATCCTGAACCGAGGTGAGTCACTGCTGCTCAGGGTGGGAGACAGAAGGACTCCCCCTTCACCCAGGGTGGTGGTGGTGGGGGGGTGGTTGGCCCCTCCTCTCTGCAGCTTCCCCTGTAACAGCCTTGGATGATGATTGGTTTGGGCGCGTGCATGCAGAGCAGTGGGCTGACGGGCTCAAGCTGAGAGGGGCCCAGACAGGATACGGCCCTGGACTGGATCCCATATCCACAGTCCACCGAACACTGGAGACGAGATCTGGTTGACCAGTCAGCAGAACCAGGAAGGTCGCCCCCCCTGACCCTGCCGGGTCCACTCCCCCCAGTACCCGTACCTGGCTCCAGGGCTTCACTTCCCACCCGAAGGTGCAGATTCGCATCCCGCAGGGCAGTTCCCCTCCGACACCACAGTGTCCCGACCGCTGACCGACTGGACGCAGGACACGGTCCTCTGGGCCACGCCCGTGTCTGTCTGTGTGTGGGTGGTTCCCCTGCTGGACAGCTGTGTGTACTACACGTCACCACAGCTGCGGGTTTCTCCGACTCTCCACACTCTGAATCCACCACAACCATCTCCCGAACGCAGTACAGCACCCTGTTGGCCACGCCCCCTCCGCACGTTTCACTGCAGGCTCCCTCCTTGGATCGCCACCTGGTGGTCAAAACATGGGACCGCTAAGTTTTGCTGAAGTGAACAGAAGCCGTGGTCTGAGGTGCGTTTCCTGTCTCACGTGGCCGGGCAGGACGCCGCGCCGCAGCTCTCAGACTGAGGAGGAGGTCTGGAGGACGGGTCGCAGAAGAGGTCTGGAACCCCCAACCTGGTCTGATGGTCCACACAGGAAAACCACACCTGCAGCGTTCCTGATGAGCAGGTGTCGAGTCAGGAAGTTTATATGCCACCCACAGGTAGGGGGCGG